AGATATATCTATATCTAGACTAAATAATTGAAACAAAATTACCTTGGTGGAAGGAACAGCTCCTGAGCTTGAAGGAGATGGGTCTTTGGAGGATCTCAATGGAAGTGTGCTTGATTTGTCTTTACCTGCAACAAAAATCAATTATGTAAATGGTACAGCTACACACTGTAGAACTAATATTAACTTGCTCCATTCTATATACTGCATTTAAAATTTTTCGGTTCTGGGTGAGGAAGGATTCAAACTTTTGTTTGATTTATATTACTGCATACCAGTTGGGGAATTTCTCCTTACTTACTGGTGACCGAACAGCAAATGAAAAGAAGAGGTTTCCAAACATATACACATACAGGAATGAAAACAATAGAAGGTGCCCTATCCTTTTCCAGTGTACCAATAAAGTGCTTTGATTTCTGACTGTATCCCCACTGGAGGAATATGCTCTCACTTCCTGTCCCGGTGACCACACAAAAATCTACCCATCAGAGACACAGAAAACAGTGAAAACCTCTTTCCAAAAAGAAAACAAGCATTTTAACAGGAGCTGGGCTTTTAATCTACAAAGAATTATTCAATATTAAAAGCTTTCTAGTTCTCAAGATGTATTTGCTTTTCAATTACTATTTATTGTGATAAAACTGATTTATAGTACAAGAATGAGCAATATTGGACTCATTTACTGAGTGGTACAGAATAGACGTCCTTCCAACCTTTTTCCGCAAACATTTGCAAGCTGATTTCTAAACTAGCTAAGAATAAAATGTATTCCAGCAGAACAGGCACCAGTCCAGATATATCTTGTAGACCAACGAGGACTGAAAATGTGAATATAATAAAAACACTTTTTAGAGCACATTTCTTAAAATTATTAAAACTCTACTCCAGGCAAAAGCTAAAATACACTGATGAAATGCATATTAAAAAAAGGTACCAGACAAAGGATTTGTATTTCTATCCATCCAGAGATTTACACAGCTCTGCCACACAGCACAGCATTATCTTGCAGACAGGAGACCTGATTTTCAGTGCTGTGTAAGTTAAATAACACTTACAGGTCTTGTCCCTTCTCGGCATATGACTAGACAGTGAAAAAAAATGTGCTCACCTGTCAAGTCTGCTCTCCTCGTTGTGCATGCACTATTTTTTTGCAAATCGCAACGACGGGCAATGCTGTGCCACACGTTCTGGTGGAGGCAACCTCACTGTGGGGTGGGAGGTGTGGCTGCAGTTCCAATGACTTAAATGGCACCACCAAGCCCCCTCCCGCCCCAGAACGCAGAGAGGCTTAATTATGCAATCCAGTGGGCTCCGGCCACTAACCGTGCTGGAACGCACTGGAGAGCAGGTGAACAAGCCCTCCATCAAACCCATTTTCAAAATAACCAATAATAGTCACTATTTTATCTATGGATGCACCCATATATCGGCCGCCGAAACATATCGGCCGAAAATTGCACTTTTGGAAAAAATGCCCAAAGTGCCATTTTCTTGCAGAAATAGCGATGCATCTGTTCTTTCTCTCCTCCCCGCTGGGCGCTGCTCTGTGTTCCAGCGGGGAGGAGAGAAACTGTCAAAGGCGGCTGAGCACTGCGGTAGGATAGCGCTGTGAGCGGCCGGTGTCTCTCCTCCCAGCACCGCTCACCCTCCTGTCACAGATCAGGAGAGCGGTGTGGGCGGAGACAGCCAGCGCTGTCATAGGAGGGTGAGCTCCGCTCGCTCAGCTCCCTGTGACAGCGTGTCAGGAAGGAGCGCGAGTACAAACAAAACACTCAGTGATAAGTGATCGCTGAGTGTTTGTAAATAATTGAGGACAGAGTATGTGCAATATATCCTCATTTATGAATGGGAAGTGATCTACATCACTTCCTGTTCATTCATGATTGTGGTTATAGTAAACACACTCTGTCCTCATGTTATGAATGAACAGGAACAGAGGCTTACTGTTCATTTATAATTGGGGATACAGACAAAGATTGGGGACTCTGTGTCCTCAATCTCTTTTTCTATTTTTAAAAAAAGGGAAATATCAGGGGTCTGTTTAGACACCCAATATTTCCCAAAGCCCCTAAAAGTAAAAACTAATAAAAATGAATAAAAATAAAATAAACATTTAAAAAAAAAAAAAAAGTTAAATTAAAAAAACATTTTCTGTTTTGGTTTTGGCCGACATTTTTTTTCATTTCGGTTTTGAAAATGTTCTTTTCGGTGCACCTCTAATTTTATCCATGCCTGTTGTGAAAAACTATTTATATAAATCAAACAGCAATATGTTAATGCATTAAAAAAAAAAGCAGTTAAAAGGGAAAAAGAATGCATACTTTTGTGCTGGTGTGCGGGTAATGACTTGCCCCTTTCTGGAGAATAGCTTCTGCTACTGACACTGGAGCCAGATCTACTATGTGGAGAGTCTTTTCTGGTAACTGGAGATTCTCGGAAATATGGAGACTCTCTTCTCTGAGGAGACCGCTCTCGTACGTATGGAGGCTGGCATAAAGGTTTTCTTCTGAAGCCTTCCCTGTTGTCTCTTTGTTGAAAATAGAAGTAAGGTGTTGTGAAAACAATGCAACACAAAACAGTCATTTTTTTTCATCAGTTTTCATTAACACTTACTAAAATAACATTGCTTATGTGCATATGGTTACACTCCCACCTCCTTATCTTTTCATGCAGTACACTTTTAGCGTGCTGTATTTAGAAGTGCTCGAGAGGTATTCTTTAAAGCAGAACTACATGTACAATTTCTATTAACCCTTGCAGTGGGGCCAACCCCAAACTAAGGATTAAGTGCTTGTTTTTGCCTAGGATCAAAAATCAAACAGGCTATATTCACCGGATCCTAAATACGCAAAATACATTACAAAAACAAAATATGTTCAATATAGGAGGGTTTGTTCACAACGTTCGGACCAGATCTGGATGCGATTCAGTGCAGTGCATTTTTGACACGCTCCAGTGCGGGTTTTTTTAGCTCCATTGGGCTTTCAGGTGCAGTCCCGTGTGTTTACATGCGTTTTTTTGTGCATTCCAGACCAGAAAAAAATAGTGCATGCAGCATTTTTTCCCCTGCACCAGAACGAACTGCAGTGGTGTGAAAAGAGAGCAGAAATACCATAGACATACATAGGGATGCATTTCAAGTGCGGACAAAAAGTTTTCTGGTCCAGACATGGTGTGAACAAGCCCTTACAGTTTCTTTATTTTCTAAAGCAGCAATGGGATGAGTAGAGAAGCCTGTCTCTTGCCAGCAGCTGCAAAGTGGGACTTTCTGTTGGGGAACAGTGGTCTCTCTGCAGATGTCTGACACATTCCCTATTGAGTCAGACATATAGCTCTGCCATGACAAGGAGATTGTTGTTTCTTCTGGTGGACGGGTTTATTTCATGCAACATCTCCATTCCACAGTAAAGGGGGGGCTGAGCAGCAACCCTAATGGAGAGTTGTTGCTGCAGACATATGCGTGAGTTACAGGAAGACTGTTGGTGATTTAGCTTACTAGAATCAACCAATGTAAAAAAAAAAATGTTTTTTTAAATGTATTGGATGTAGAGGCCCAACTTGCTCAGACGAAATGTAGTTTAATTGTTTTATAGATTTGCATGGATGTTTTCTATTTTAAGCTTAGAACTGCCACGTCCCTCCCTATTTGCCATTTTCTCATAAAGTTCATCTCAAACTTTACATGTGTCTTGTCTAGTAAGGAACAATTGCTGGTCTTCCTGAACTACATCCCAAAGTGCTATAAATAAACACACCTGTTATTGCTCTGGTACAGTGTAACCAGCACAAAGGGGAAAAAAACAACATTTTGAGTTGGTTCATCTTACCATTAGACAGGTGGCTGTATCACCCTGGTGCTAAAATGGCCACCTATAAGCGACCAGCAATGTGGCTGAAAATCCCATTGTAACAGGTGCTGAATAATCCTTGAAAAACACCTTTTTCAGAAAGCAGATACATTTCTAATTTAGAAAGACTAAATAATCCATTAAAACTAAATCTGCGCCTGGCATATTTTGTTTCTCAAGAAGCTCATTTTCTCCTGTCAGTGGTTTGCATAAGGTGTTTTTGTTTAACTTACCGGCTGTTTAAAGAGTATGGGGGAGCAGTTGAGATTAGGAATGTCTGAATGATTTAGGAAAGAAGATAGGAAGGACCTACATACAATCACATAGCCAAATTGGATTTTACTCAGTAACTGCCACCCTCTGAAATATTTTTTTTTTTCAAAGGCCATTGCCAGGCTTTCCTAAAGCATTTCCGCTTTCTTCAGGTACAATTATACATGCATTTCTAATTAACATGCATGGTCCAGCAACTGCATTGTGGATGTCTGTATCTTTCCCTAGAAGACTCGAATAGGACTGACAAATTGTGGTCAAGTAAATCAAAGCAGAGGCTGCAGGACCTAGAACTTGCACAGCCTGGAACTTTCAAGAGCCAGCTCAAGAACACAGGCAAGTGAAACATACACACAAGGCTCGCATAGATCTCCTGGTCCCCATTTACTACTGCCGCCAATTGACAGTGTTGGCTGTCTGAACAGCCAATTTGTAAGCCCTACCAGTGTCACACAGGTGGAGAGAGAGGGGGGCCAAATGTTCCCCCCTACCAAGCTACCAGGTATATCACTTTCATTTCTCATGTGAATGGAGCAACGCAAGTATAAGTAGTGCAGGGGCCAAGATTAAAATGAACCTGTTGCTTTGTCCACCATAGGCAAAATCCAGGTTGACTTACAGGTCCCATTTCTGCCAAGGAAAATGATCACGTTATAGTTTCAATTACCAATCATTGGGAATTTAGTACTTCCATGGTACCTATATACTTCCAAATTTTATTGCCAGAATTCTGTTTCTAAAAAAAGGTTTTTAAAGATTAGTGAACCATTCTCTGAATAAACATAGTAAGTAATAGGATTGAGGAGCTTAAATAGAACTAAAAAGGAACAACTTTTTTTTCTTTTTAGATTTGCACAGAGTGGTGAGGGGTTAGAACATCTGGCAGGTTTCCCATCGTTGTCGAAATCCCTGTTGTGGAACTAAGGGGGGGAATTCCACCACATTGAACATATATCCTCTCACTTCCTGTTGTGTCTACAGAACAGGAAGTGAAGGGAAATCTAATGACAAACACATGGCAAAAAACAAACAAAAGTGTATTTTTTCACTTAGGTTAAAGTAGAGGATTAAATTCTGTCTGGTTTAATTTTGGGAGGCTTCCTCTCACTTCCTGTTGCAGTAAATACTAAGGTACTGATTTAATCTTAACTTCCTTTTTTCCCATGTAAAAGTAATTCTCTTTATATTCATTCGGAGAATCTACTGGGGCTGGTGACAGCATTATGTATATGAATGTTAAAAAAAACATTTCAGCAAAAAGATGCACTACTTGTGGTAATTACAGAAGAATGCCTTCCCTGGAGTGGCAGAAAGAAAGCCAAGAGAAGTAAAAAAAGAAGAAGAGGTGAAACAAAAAACAGAAAAAGGATATTTCTATTTTAGAGTTGGTAAATAGGCCCTTTTTTTTTTATAGAGCACATTTTAAAGAGTAATTGGATAGTTAGTGGGCAAGATCATTAATATACGTGTTCTTCTATTAAATTAAATTCTTTTTTTACATGTAATATAGGTGTGTGTGTGTGTGTGTGTGTGTGTGTGTGTGTGTGTGTGTGTGATAGATAAGCATACACAAGATCATTAATGCACATAATATAAATAAATATATGTTCCAAAACATTAATTGAAATAATTTGTGTGTCAAGGTAAAGTGGTAAAGAGTAAGGTAAAGAGGTAAAATAACTGTAAAAGAGATGCCAAGAGGAAGCTAAAAATCTCACTTCCATAAACTAGTTAACTGAAAATGTGTTAATGATAAAATTGTGTTTTCGCAACTATGTGCCTATTTTACCTCCAATTAGCCTGGTGAGAACTCATTAGCACAGCTGTGTCACTTCCACAGGGAGAAAACATTCTGAAATTAATATACAGAACATTGTTAGTTATCTAGAACATGGCCAGTGATTTAGCAACTATGGGAACCTTAGAATATTATATCTAAACAGTAAAGAAGTGTAAAAATGTAGCAGTTGCAGGAAAATATGTTCTTTTTGAAGTTGGACCTAATGCCTCATCCAATTTGTTTTTAATGTAAATCCATTTTAAATACATTTTAAAAAATAATTTTTTTTTTTTTACAAAACCGTAATCAATTTTACAGAAGTTGGCTGGAGTGAGCTGCCTTCTCTGCTTGGTGAATCTGTGCTCTGTTCTTACATTGGAAGAGTGTTCAGCATAGGTAGTAGAAGCTGTAACTATTTTGAATGAGCTCCAAGGCACTTATGACCAAGCTGGAATTCATTAGCATTGATACCACCCACCAGTGTTTCAAAGGACAAGATAAGATGCAGGAGAAATTACAATCTGCACAAGTAGGGACGTGAGCTCAAACTCTAGGTACCACAATGAAACATATGATGTATATAGTGTTCTCTCCAATCTACCTTCAACTTACAAATAAAAACTAACAGACTTCAGACATTTTGATTTAGAGTCGACTATCCCCACTTGGATACACTGGGTGATTGCACTGAAGGTACATCTGCATACCATACATAAATATACTGCAGTTACTGCAATTTTGCAATATACAACATTGTAGGCTTTGCTACATATACACATACTGTATCAATAAACAAAATAAACGTCAGTCTAAAAGGGAAGAGCTACAATGGTTGTCTGTAGTAGTCACTACAATATTGGCCTTGAGGGTTGAAACCAATAAGAGGAACAACCCGAAACCAAGAGCAACAGCATCTTCCGGGTGGGCAACTTCTGTCCCACACACCAATGTAATGGGGGCAACTTGTGCCCTGCCCACCAATGTAACAGGCAACTTCTGCCCAGTTCTGCAATGGGGCAACTTCCATTCCACCCACAAATGTACCGGGTGAAACTTTCAGCCCATCCACCAACGTAAGTGGGGCAACCTCCATTCCGTCCACCAATGTAAATGTGGCAATGTCTATTTTGTCTACAATTGTAAGTGGGGCAACTTCCACCCATCCACCATCCCTGGCAACAGGGCCTGTTACTAAGGTAGTAAAATGTCAGGCACCACTGAGGCAGTAAAAATATCTATTGTGTCGTGATCATTTGAGAAGGAAGACCATAAATTAAAACAGAACTCATGTAAACAATAAAATTAAGACCTGTAAAAGGAAAAGGAAAAAAAAAAAAAGAAGCAGCAGCTTTTGCTGCAATACTTACCTTTAATGTAGTGCTGTGCCCTGCAGTAATTCCTCTCCTTCGGTGGTTGAATGGCCAGCGTCATTCAAGCCACTTCCTTTAAGCCCAGGCTACTAAATATCATTCTTCACTGAACTAAAGATGGGGTGTATCAAATAGATTTTGACTGTTCTTTTTTCCAGCAATAAAGGGGATCATGCTTTCATCATATAACGGACATCAAGCAAACCTGGTGCAATCTCCATGGCAGTATGACTTTCCTTGTATCTGGCTTTATAGT